CAGACCGACCCCTAAAGTATGGAACGAGACGGGGTGACCGAGGCCAGCAAGGACAAGACAGGTGGAGCTGGTAAGTTAGTTCACTAGTGTAACTAATGTGTCTCCGTCAGGACTCCTGACTGAGGAGAGACATTAGTCCACCTAAATAGCGAGTTGGGCCTCGTGGGTGGGAGCGGTGGTGGCGGTGAGAGGTTAGCCACCAAGTTCTCCTAGCTAGCTCTACTAGCTAGCTCTACTAGCTAGTTCTATTACCTAGCTCTACTAACTAGCTAAATGTGGTGCCAGCTATGCTTGAAAGGCTCTCCACACAATACCTAATAATTAAAAAAAACATTGACATACTCTGCTCTAATAATCTTACAGTGCCCCAGAATGATTGGTATTTGATATTCCACAATAAAAATAAAAATCTCACCTTACCCCAAAAATCTCAAAATACTCCAAAAAAATTTCCGCCTTGGGGGAAAGTGAGACAAAGTATTATAATTGCCTGAACGTATTAAAAAATGTATTTTAAAAAGTCCATGACCAAAAAATTAAAACTTTTTAAATTTTCGAGCTTTAAAAAATTCCTTCAAATTCTTGTTCAAAATACTTTGATTAGTATAGAAAATCATTTTCATGAAAAGCGGAGACAAAAATAAAGCTTTTTTTAAAAAATTTAAAAAATTTTCAAAAATTTTATTTTTCGAGACCACTGAAAAAAAGATTTTTATGCTCAGGGTCAGGGGTCCATAGGGTATTCAAAATTTTAGCCAAATCTTAGCTAGCCCACTAGTGCAATTTTATATGCAGAGGGAGGGAACCTCTCTCTGATTGGACGTCCCGTTGGGTAGGCCACACATTACTCTTATGGAGAGCCAGTTGGTTATTTAAAGTGGGCAAAGCGTACTCCTGCTGGAGATACGCTTAGTTACAACTAGGCAAGTAAGTTAGTCAATTCTTTAAATACATAAACGTAAAATTTTGCAAATCTCAAGTGTTTTTTTATTACTAAATCTATACCAACACGGTGCAAATTTTTAATTCCGTCACGGTAGAGTCATATATCTACTCCGCTGGTGCTGGTTTTTTTATTACCAAGTTGCTAAAAGTGTGGTGAGGGGTGGGTGACGCGCAGGAGTTTGAGGACTTGGTGAGGGGAGAGGAGGACGAGGAGTAGAATTTTGAGGAATTGGTGAGGGGAGAGGAGGACGAGGACTAGAGTTTTGAGGAATTGGTGAGGGGAGGGGAGGACTAGGGGCTGATTAAAAGTCCCAACTCTGCTTTACTCAGAACCGGAATGGCACAGAGTGACGAGCTAAACAAAATTTAAAGTAGTAGAAGTGGCTAGGTTTTCTCGCCAAGGATTTCTCGCCCGCTTTCTTTCTTATGGGGAAATCCTTGGCTAGGTTTTCTCGCCAAGGATTTCTCGCCCGCTTTATTTCTTATGGGGAAATCCTTGGCTAGGTTTTCTCGCCAAGGATTTCTCGCCCGCTTTCTTTCTTATGGGGAAATCCTTGGCTAGGTTCATAGGTCTCATTTATTATTTATTATTTCACATGCGTTAAAAATGGAACGGGATCTCTAAATTTAAAGATTTCATTTTGAGCCAAAGTTTTTGCCAACGAGTTATTTTTTCTAGAATAATCTTGAAATGCCCTCAAATTAAATTCCCAGAATTTTTTTTAGTCCATATTTCCTAAACATTTGAGTGTGAATGCGTGCAAAGCACCTGAAATATGTAAAAAAAAATTAAATCTTTAATAATTTAGAAAGTGCAAAAAATGATGCTTTCATAGATTTGGGTTCTCATGGGTTTAAGTTACCAGATTCATCATCTAATCCCATTATTTGATAATTGCACAACATTTCTAATTTTGTAATCTGGGATAAAAACGTTGCAATTATACAAAAATCTTTTAATTAAAAAAATATATTTTACCGGATTAAGTTTTTCGTTTTGTTAAAGAAACTACAAATAGCAGTTAAAATTCGGGTGCAGTTCTTGTCGAGCCAATTCCAGTTTCAATTGTCCAACATTTATAATTCTAGCAAGTGAGACAAAAACCGGTTTTTCTTTCCCCAGTCACTTGTATCTCGTTTGCAATGAATCTTATCAAACAGCGTTTACATTGGAATTTAAATTATTAACAAGGTTACTCTTTTTTGCATGTATTTTGTTTAATTATAATTAGCACGTCGTTTTAGTAATATTTCGCAACTGACTTGTGAGATAAGCTTGAATTCCAAAGATCGGCCAGTCAGGAAGGTCAAATTTTGTTTCGAATTTAATTTAAATCAACGCGAAATAATTATAAAAAAATAGAAGGACATTCTCGACCTATTAATAAATGAACCTATCTCGAACAATGTTTAGTAATTCAAAAGCTTGGCAAAATACTCAAAACTGAAAAGAACCGCTCGACACAAAATCTGTAAGCTCAATATTACGTTTTCGAAGAATATAATTAGCCTAGATTCTTGGCCCTAGAAATATGTATTTTTGTAAAATCGTCAATCCACAAGAGGACCATAATATCTAGTGTAAAGCGAGCGACCTGGCCCGGGCCCCGGGCCTGGTATTTGGTACCACCGTGTACCATCGTTGGTACGCCACTGCCTCAGCCATATTCTTAATTTCGATCCACCCTGGTACAGACCATGTATCGAAATTGGTCTACATCTGTCAATCGTGTGACAACAATCAACCCTTCGGTGTCCTGATAGAAAACCCTTCCTCTCTGGCGAACATTGAACAACACATCTTCACCACAAGCACCACCCGTGTCTGGGTTCAGCCCGATATCCTTTCCAGAATACCAATATCGTTAATTCGAAACATGATCATGATACTAGACCCGTCCCGATATCCGAGATATTCTGGGATGTCTTCTTGTGATGTTTGTGTACAAATGGGTTTCCGGATTTTGATTGATTATCTATCACTTCTCCTGTGGTAAGGTGCTTCAACCGGGCTCCAAGTGAGAAATCAATTTTAATTGAATCCACTGAAAAAGAAAAATTCGTCCTTAAAGGTTTAGAACTCTATTGGATTCCAAGATTCAAAAAATATGCGACATCCGCCACTACAGCTTGGGTTGCGCATAGCGTGGATTCATAAAATTTTGTGACCTGTAACGGTCTCAGAATAAAGGGCAAGGGGAACTCTGACATGTTGCTTACTCCAGTTCAAGAAGATGCTGTGATTTTGACTGCAATGTTTTTCTTAGCTTGTTTCTTGATTTCCTTATTGATTGACAAACTTGGGGTAAATGGAGAATTATGCGATAAAATGTTCAATTTCATAGCCCAACTTGTAGAAAATGGTGACCTCAGGTTGAAATTTTAGGATGTACATTTCCTGAATTCCTTGGTCTATATCGTTCTTGGCAGTTTTCGCATATTTGTTCTATTTTTCAACAACTTTTGTAAAAGTTTTCTTTCAGCAGAGGAAGCACTTCGGCCTGAAGTTGATTTTGCAAAAGTTCAAAAGTTGGAGGATTTGAAGGAATTTCGAATAGTTACGGTGATAGATACTAATAACCTGGGATTTATAGACATTCCGCGAAACGAATTTAGAACTAGTGACATGGAGATGACGCGGTTTGGGGGCGACGTATACAGTTTATATGTAACCTATGGCTCCGGAACTATGCATGGTTTCAAGAATCCACACCTTTTTAAGATGATTAATTATGAACATTATTTTCCCTCTCCGGATCAAGGTAATTTAGCATATTATGTTCGTGTTAGGGGCAAGTACAAATAATCATTTTGAAATGAATTTATAGATAAATATTTGAAAGAACATATGTGCAGTTATGTATGTAGGCCTAGTCCATCATTTTTTTTCTAAATCAGTGTTTCTGGTGCAAGTAACCACCTGCAAGAAAGTGTTATTTTCTCACTTTTTTCACCTGCAAGAAACGAAAAGTGTAACAAACTCTCCCCGAAAGATAGTTCATAGGGCGGGACGCTAAATGGCGTTCCGTTTCTTGCACTTTCTTGCGTTTCTTGCACCTCATTCATACATCCTGCACTTCTTGCTTTGCAGTTCAAGAAATGCATCAATCCCGCAAGAAACGAAACACTGGTTGTAATACAGGAGTGTACCTGGGGATGGTATTGGTTGAGTTACGTAGCTAAACAATTTGTGGCATAGGTTATACGACACGAAGGGTGATATGTATGGAGGGGATAAAAAAATCCTGATTTTGTGCCACAACATTCATGGATGGCATACCCGAATTCTCCCTGGCGCAAGTGATCGAATAAGTCCCCAGGGCGAAAATCAGGAGGAAGAGTTTGAAAACCATAATTTATATTGTTTGTCTGTAAAAAAACTGATTAATGTATCGATGACTTTACTTGGAACACTGAAGTCAGGATAAGAAATTCGATTTGGCTTTAAACTTGGAAATGAATCGGTTACCTTATCCTGTATGCGAACGTTGGATAGTTTAAGGGAAGGTTATTTGCTTAATGTGTCACGATCGCTAACTTGACACAAATTAATTAAATGATGACAATATTGGCAATGTGATTGCATTACTTTTTGAAGAGCTTAATTTATATATTTTGCAATAATTGGTAAGGTTGGATGTTGGACGGGACGTTTATTTTATCCAATTCGTGTCACAAGTGCAAACTTAAATTTGACAGAAATTAATTAATCGATAATCTTCTCAACATGATTGATAATCATCTCTTTGATAGAAATTCCATACCTAGCATAACTTTAAATGCTTGTCAATCTGCTATATAGCTAAATGTTTAAACAATTGGAAAAATAAGTGCGTGTAGCAAGATAAAAACAAAATAATCAAATTCATCAGTGTTGTGCATATTTTGGTCAAGTATATCGTAACTCAGGACTTTGATAAAATGTGTCATCAAGATTAATAATTGAAGAATGAATTTTGTTTTCATATCCTCTTAAGATATTATACAGATATATGAAGATAAGTTTCATTGCGGAAAATATGTTTATGGATTTAAAAATGTGATAGCCATACCCGTGTTTACTTTCGTAATTAACGATACACTAATCATTTACACATTTATTTATTTTCATTTTAACAAGAAATTTTGAAGTTTGCTTAAAATACATTGCATTCACCTGGTTAAGACTTCTCAAATATTTGGTGGTCTGAAAATAAGTTTATATTTAAAACTCATTAAATACGTAAGCGACAAATATAAACTATCACAAATTAAATTCATAAACTTACCTAGTTCCACCAACACACTCTGTTACATTTGACATATAGTCACACGCCATTAGCTCTTGATTCCAATACAGCTGAGCTGGGCACTGCCTTAAAACCGGGTTTCCTGGATTGCAAATCCAGTAAAATTGACAATCTTGGTGAGGCGCGTAATAGTCTCCTGGCCGGCAAACATCTCCTTCTTGCGTCGTTCCCGTCCCAGGAGTTGTGATGACTGGGAAATGCATAAAATAATTATAGCAATCTGGCCAAAGCAATTTCAAGAATCTAATTCATACCGGAATGTTCTTCTAATTCGCACATAACCCGAAAAACTGAGCCAATGCAATCAGATGCACTCAAGCCGTCAGAACTTAGGTAGGCATACCTGAAACGATGGCTGTGTCCTGCATCGACTAAGTTGGGATCACTGGTGACCGCGTTGCCATTATGGACCCACCTCGGGTAGGTGTTCCCCTTGCCGCATGACACGGAAAGAATATCACTCGCACCGATGTGAAACAGGTTCCAGCGACCTAAAATCATTTTCTATTTATTAGACGGACAATGAAAATCGGGATATTATGTATGTGACGTATACATTTATACCTGCCATTTCTTCCCGCATGGAGTAATTCCTTAGGAAATAATATTCCTCCATGGATTCTGGTGCCGCCAATCGCATTGCGTTTTCATGGCACAAATCCCAGTTTTCTAGCCATCCTTTCTGTAAGAGGGTTTCGTTGTAAATAAATATTTGTGGTATTTCTTAAGCAGGACCGATGATCTATGTAATCTTAAGGCGACAAGTACCGCCAGAGAATTTTGATTCGCGAAATATCTTTAAATACGCGGAGAGTATAAGACACGTTTAAATTTAACCAAGGATTACCGTATCGGAGGGATCTTCATCCACAAAATATCGTATATTTCCAACTCGTCCTATCTTTACGAGAGATTGATCTGTAGGAATTATTGAACTTGGTCCTCCAACTCCAGCAAGTTTATCACCTAATTTGCTATAGTAGGTTTTATCCGCTTCTGGCCGTGCATATTTTAGCAAGGGGACTTCACAAAGGACATGGTGAGGCACATATGCATGACATGAATCTTCGCGGTATAACCCATCTTGGTTTATTAAGAGACAATTGGCGCTACGATTTCCGGATGGCATTCCCTCACTCCTAGTACCGACGTTGACTTCCCCGTAATTCTCCAACCATCGGAACGTTCCTTCTTCTATGTGATCGGTAGCGGGAAGCCAGAGGGATCCTTAAATAAATAACAATACTTAAATATTAAGACATGAACTGAGCAATATATTTCAAAGTTAAATTAAGTACGTGCATACCAGGTCCTTGCGGAAACAAGGTGGTCGTTTGAAGAAAATTTTTAATAAATGAGTGTTGCATTTCATCCGAAATTCGGCCAGGAATAAAGCCATGCACGTTGCAGTTATCCATACCATCAAACCAAGGGAGCTTGAATATTGTGTTTGATTAAGTAGCTATAAGTTTTCAAAGTATTTTTTATTAAACGTTACCTACCTCTGATATAGAGGCAAAAAACAATTTTCTTTCACTATCAGGTTGCCCGATGTAGACGTAATTAGAGGTCGAAATTGATCCTGAAACGACGAACAATAGTTGGCTAAGCACAGTTGAGCGTATGTATGTGTTCAGCACGTTTTTCTCATTAAAAATTTATTCATTTGAAACCTTAATTTTCATTATTCGTTCATTATTCATTCATATTGTCGAATTATTCACTCATTCATTATTCATTCCTACTGATTAAATGAAAGTAGAAATAATAAGAAGTATAAGAAGAACAGGGATTGTTTGTTGTTTTATTGCTGATAATTTCGAGGCCGACGCCGCCGATCTCAAGCGGCCGACGCTACCAACCCTGATAAGAATTTAAGCGCCGCCACCCCACCGCTGTCGATCTTCACACCTGCCATGCAGCCTCCACCGAGGATGACCTGATGCCGAGACTAATTTTGAAGATTTTTATCTTCAAAACCAAGATTTCCTCTTCGTCTCAAGTTCTTCAAAGTTCTTCGCAAGACTCTGACTTAAACTGCTCATGTAGTATTAGTATTTCTCCTATATCCAGAACTGAAGTCACGCAATTCATTTAAATTTAAATTTATTCATATGTTGAAGATGACATTTGAACCTGAATTTAATCGAGGTCTAGAAAGAAATACATTTCGTTGTTATGGAGCCGCTGAAGACGAAAGTTAAGACTTTAACCGCCGCCGCCGCCGACGTTATGATCGGCGCCGGCCATGCAGTCATTTATGTAGCTTTTAACAAATTAATGGACTTGACTCCGTTTTAATTTACAAGCAGTACATATAAATATTTTGAATTGAATTAACTCACCGTCATCTGCAGTTGAATTAGCCAAAAGCGTAACGAGCAGGAATATTATTGTGACGGAATACATATTTTACTCCAGGAGAAAGTGATGTATTTATATGCATAAATGACACTTTGGTTTCACTAAAGCGACTGAAACCTGAAATGGAAATGTGACTCGGTTATACATAAAGGGGGAACTGATGAGCGTGATCTATGTATTTTACAGGCAATGCCAAGGTTGGATGGAGGACGGACGCTTAGTCGATTTAATGTGTGTCACGAGTGCAACATGTAATTGAACATGAATCAATTAATTGATAACGATAATGGAAACAGCATAAGGAAAATACTTATGAATCTGCTCGAACATGCATGCACGCATTGAAATGTTTAAATAATTGCAAAAGTATTCAAGTATGCGTATGAGGCAATAAAACAATATGAGGATGAACATGACAACGAGGAACCAATGCATAGCAACAGTCTTTTCATAATATGCTGCAAAATCGACCATAATTACTTAACTAATTTTCATCTTTAGAATCACGTGCGACAAATATTTAGAAAAATCGTTGGATTTAAGAAATTTTAGAAGCATATGTTAGCAAGCTATTAAGTTTCTAAAATTCTCATTTTTATAATTACCATTATAAACACGGATTAATTAATGAATTAATCTCATCTCAACTTAATGGTTACAAAGTTAATATATTGCTCCCGGTAAATTCGAGAAAATTCAAACTCGATCTAGTTTTCATACATAAATTCACTAAAAATATATGTATAATAAAGTGCGGCAAAGCACGATACATAACCCTAGTAGCACAATATCGAGAATTACTCGTGTAAAACACAGGTTTCGAGCCCCAAAAACTCGGAATACACGTCATGTTTTGGGTGTCCGATTGGTGGAAATTTGGGGATAAGTGTCGCCAATTCCAACGTGTACAACACGTGTCAAACTCGTGTTTTTTTAAGGTATTTCTCGAAAAAATCACGAGTGTGCCTCTACATATTTCCGTAATTATCTCGTGTTAATTCTACTTCATAACTCCAAATAAGCACCAATTTGAAATTTGTTTTGAAATTTAATTTATTTCAAATACTAGAATAATATGTCACAGCTTCAACTAAAATAGTAGACTGTATGTAATTAAAAAGTAATTAGTGTGAGTTAATCGGTGGATTCGTTCTGGTCATCCTGCAGATTACCGTTTTGATTACCTTCCCCTCCATTGTGAGCACGAGCACTAGGTCAAAAAACAACAATGTATTAAAATTCTATACAGATAGTAATTGTGGCTATTATATAATTTGTGGACTTACATCTTCTTGGAAGACTTTTTAATTCTTTTCGGTGCATTTTTCAACCACGTCTTTGTTATTTCTTCAATTTCCGTATCCGTGACTGAATTTGATGTACAACTACGGCGAACAGCATCTAGAATTGACCAATTCGAATTGAATTAAGAATATTTTACACGAAATAATTATATTTGATCCACGTATGTCTTACCGAGTACAATCTCGTTCATCCAACTCTCACGAAAAGCATATTTTTCTCCTCGTGATCCAATCCAGTTGTAATGCTCTGCCAATTTGTCATCGCACAGATTTGACAACACCTTGCGGGTACATTTCGGATTATTGCCACGAGCTCGATGACCCAACTCAATTATCTGGTGAACAATTAAAGCAATTATTTCTCCATTCGTCTATGCATAATTAAAATATATTAATATTTTTTACCAATGTTTGCTTCTTGTCATCTGACTTATAATGAAGTTCTAATTTATCGACCTCTTCTTTTGTCTTCAATGGAAGATCATGTTCCACTTTTGCACGGGCTATCCTTGGAGTCTTAACCTGCTGTGCGACAAGTATGGCATCTAGGGATTCTTGAAGTTGTCGAATTTGAGCTTTCAAAATAGCGATATTTCTAACCATATATTTCTCAAATTGGGATCCTGTGAAAAAGAAATATGGTTAATATAGTTCTCTTATACTTTTATTATACATTATACGTATTATTTATATCGTAATTGCATAATAAATATAACTCACCTCCCAAAATTGGATTAGATGCATTCAAAGAAGAAACGTCCTCTCCATTTCCGGCACAATTAGTGACACAAGTTTCATCGTAAACCGTAGGGCTCCGGGCCTCAACATTTGACTTGTTTTCCAAAGGGTGAGATTCCGACGTATCTTCTCTACTGGGGCCTTGATCGTTCGCGATAACTTGTTCTTGACGCGATGTTGAGGCAGCATCTTTTTTCGTTTTCTTAATCGATTTAGTCGCCTTCTTGGAAATTGTCTCCGGGTTGACTAAAAGCATCAATACAAAAATTTTACTAATTGTATAATTAATAAATATATTCCCAAATTCTCAATATAAAGCTACCCAGAGTAAGATGAAACTTTGGAGGGGATGAAACTCTTTTGGTCTTGAAGCTGCCATCACTGTGCCCGTCTTCATCGCTGGAACTGTTTTTCTTAGCCCTCCTACGAGATTTGTCTGCGTCACTAGTCAATTCAGCATCACTCTCCCGGACGACAGCCCCCAACTTTGCAACAGCGTCATGATAAGTAGCTGAAAATAATACCGGTTTAAAATTAAGAAAAAGAAAATTATCCATATTAGCATTTAATGTTCCGTCTAACAAGTAAGTATTACGTCAGCTTACCGAATTTATGACCATTTCCAGCAATTTTTATATCATAAACTAACCAATCACTTTTTGCTGCCTCGTGTAGACTTGCAGCCTTAACAGTACGATTAGATGATTTAAAATTCGGCCACACACATTTTTTGCCACCTTCACGTAACCAGCAACTCGTCGTGACCTCAATTTCCTCCGTATCTTGGAACTTGACAATGACAAAGTAGGGGTCACTCATTGTAGAAATTTTACTTAGAAGTATGGAGTAAAGGAATCGCCAAGTATTTCTCCTCACAAGGTAGAAGAACTAACTTTTTCTGAATATCTTCCACCTTGTATTTACACAGCAAGTCAAGCGAGGACACTAATTTAACATTCACTAGTGATGACGAGCAAGGTTTTTTATAGTAGTCGACTACTTCTTTAAATTTTCTACCAAGCAAAACTTTTTCCCCTTGATGCGTTGCAAATGTTTTGACCACTACGATATCCCCTCCCACAAGTTCACACACACTGTTGGCAACCCCGACTCGAAAGGAAAATTTGGGATGCAGGTATTTCGAAAAATATTGCACTGGGTGTGGAAGGATATTAAAATAATCATCAAATTGGAAAGTGTGTAAAAATGTCGCTCCAAGCTTCTCACCTCGTGTTGCACTGATTTGTGACTCCCGCTCGATTAACCGCCTGTGTGCTTGAGACAACTGATTTGATGGACCACGGATTAATTTTTTTATTATTTGAAGTTGATTTTCAAAGCGAAACCCACTGAAGTCGTCCAATGCTCCATGAATTAAGCAATCTCTCGCTAAATGTAATAAACCATGAATATTGAAAGATAAATTTTCTTTCCCATACAATCTTCCAAAATGTTGAACAAAGTAATGTAGTAGATCGTTGGCATAATCATTGCAGGTTTTATGTAAATTTTTGTCAGCCAAAATTGATATGGCCACATGGAGGCAGAGAAAATGTTCATACTGGTCATTTGGAATGTTATTTTTCAAAACTACTGGTCCTGTGTAGAGCACAAATTGACGGAATTCTGTAGCCTTCCAATTGTCCAACTCCTTTAATCTACGAGGTTTTCTTGCAAATTCAGATGGGATATTCCGAACGAGACCCACAAGTTTAAGTGATATGTTATCAATTTCGTGTGGCCGTAGTCTTCCTGGACACTTCTTTCCTCTAATTAGTAAATGGAGCAGCTTTCTGACAACGCCCAAACAAACTAGATGCATATACTCGCACGGAACACCATCAATTAAATCAAAATTAAAATCTCTAATTATAGTACACTCATTATGATGAGCTGGGTCTAATGCTGATCGAAATGTTTCGTCGGTTCGTCTTGCACACTCTTCATATGGAAATGTAACACGATTTTTAAAATAAAGTCCATTAATTGTGCACTTTCCACATGATTTGTATCCGTTGTGACATTTTGTTCCAAGAACGTACGCTCTAGCTGGTGCGTCGCAGACCAAGGCACTAATTCGAACAGTAAATAATTGATCATTAATTAAAACACCATCTGCACACAGTTTAAATGTTTTAAGAAATTCATTAAGATATTCGTTGACAGAACTCGGTTTTCCTTCTCCAAAATATATCCCAATAATAAATACATCATCCAAAATTCCACCCAAAATTGGCCAAAATTGTTGTGAAGAACTTTTTGTCAATGGAATTCCATCGATATTTATCTGTAGATTTACAACTTTGCTGGGGAACTTGGTCACATTTCTTGATACAATATCCTTCACATATCGCACCCACTCAAATGCCACATATTTTCCTGGGGCCACAGTTATGGTGGAAGTCTCTCGTGGGGTTGATAATAAGGATCGACTATCAGCTGGAAGTTCAGAAAAACAATTGTGTGACCTTAGTATTTTTAAAAGATCACTTGTTGCAGAGTTTGTAATATTATGTCGGATTGACCAGTCTTTAATTTCTGCTCCGATGTGGATTACAAAATCTTCTCTATCTTCTTCAGTACTTGTTATAGAGTTAATTGATTCACAATCTATTTCGAGACTTGAAAATGATTCAGCGAGTATATCCACTTCCAAAGTAGAACTGTGAGGTGGAGATTTACCCTGATCTAAACTTATTGGAACAGATTTCGAAACATCTTGATTACGCGAATTTAGATGAAAATCTTTCAAATTCCTGTTAACATTTCTTTGAAACTTTCTAGATCGTGTTTTTTTCATTGCAAAATAAAAACAAAATATTTCATATTTTTCTTCACAATAATACTTTTACCGCTTTTGATGATGACAGGGGGTAAAAACATATGTAATATGATATGATACCATACGTGATAATCTCGGATTTTTTTGTGCAAATAACACGAGATTTCTCGTAGTTAAGAACTCATGTTTTGTATAAATATAACTCGTGTTTTTTTACAAATAAAACTCGTGTATTTATATGCGGCAATACACGTGGCGCCGAACCGTGTATAACTCGTAATTATTATTGGTTTATTCGCGAGTTATACACCACTACGAAAAATACACCAATTGACCCCAATTTAACACGCGTATTACTCGGTATGTACTACTAGGGAAGTAGCGCAAAAATGCTGAGAATGCATCACACACTAAAACAAATAATTCTCCGACTAATATTTTAATAATGCCCAAGTATCAATTAATTAATGATAAAATAATAATCTCTAATTAACCATAATCGCCATATTACGACATGTCGACAACACCGAAAAACATGTTTTGCCCAAATTTCATGCTTATCGACCGCAAAATGCCGAAATTAGGGCATGGCGACAACATTTGTCGTCGAAACCTTAATCGCCATATTGCGACATGTCGACAACCCCGAAAAACATGTTTCCCCCAAATTTCATGCAAATCGCCCAAAAAATGCAGAAATGAGGCCATGCCGAGGTTTTGATGTCGACAAAGTGGCCACACCCCCTTAATACGGTGTCAGCTCCTACCCGTGTAGAACATGTTAAAAATTTCAGTTCGCTGCGACAAACCGTTCTCGAGTTTTAGTGCTCACGGACAGACTAACTAACCGATCGCATAAAATAGCTTGCGCTACTTAATAAAATGAATTTGTACGCTGCAGTTGAATTTCGCTTGTAGCAATGATCAGGATGCAATGATGAGAATATTATTATTTAGAACGCAATAAGTGCTACAACTTCACCGGTATAACCATGTCATATGTTGATGTGACATATCATTTTATCGCGGTTTATTCTTTTATCCGTACCTGAAACCAACATGTTAAATTGAGATATCATGCACACCATACTTTAGTATACTTTTACTCATTTAGATGATACGTATACATGCAATATTCCACCGATAGCGGGGCGAAGCGTCATAGCAATAAAACGTTTGCATAAATATGCAAGTATTTATGGACAGCGGAACTAATAATGGTGTGAAGTGTGCGCTACTTAATAAAAAAAATCGAATGCCAGGCTCATTTTAATCGGTACGCACCAAAAAAAAGTTGAGCAGATGGTAGTCACAGATGAAAAAATCTTTACGTTGAAAAAACGTTTACCAGATTTACACCTTTAGATATATGCCAAAGGTCACCCCCAATATAAAAAATTGCAGAAAGTCACATCATCCGGAATGTGCAATGGTTTGCGCTGAATCCGTTAAACAATCCATATTCAACGGACAGGAATGGACCTTTATACAAGATTCTGTAGCTACTAATAAGGCAAAAATCGTGCACAAATGGGTAAAAGAACAAATTTCTGACGTAATTTGCACTTAAAAGATTGCTATCAACCTCACCTAATTTAAGCCTACAGTATATTTACAACGCTATATAGTCGAAACTGGAGGCAAAGGTGTGTATGTATGTTCAAGACCACAAACAAGTGTCGAGGCTTCAAAAAAATCTCAGAATCTGAGAAGTGAATAAAATTATATATGAAAACGTGGCGAGTACCACGACTGGACTCCTCTTCTCCAATGTTGCATTTACGCAGCCTGCGTTATGCAGGAGGAGGAAATTTTGAAACTTTAAAATTGTTGTCGTATCAAAATCGAGTCGAGTAGTGACTCGACTAGTGGGTCAAATCTGAATATAATTCCACATACGTTAAAACTTGCGAGGCAAGGAATCAAATTATTTGAACAGTTCGGGGAGTTCAACTCGTTTCCAATTTCATATACCTTCGAATCCTGGAAAGCAGGATTTTAATAAGATATTACTTCATTCGAGGCACTAGCTCTTAAAAATGTTACGGACTGAAGAAAAGCTCATTTAACACAGTTGTTGACGCCGACAAATTTTCAGCGGCGGCGGCGCCAATTTTCTGGGATTTTTCGGCGGCGCGGCGCGGTGTCCCAATGTTGAAGGAATATGAAATCAAATTTTACGGCGGCGGCGCGTAAAATACTACGGGCGTTAGGCGGCTCGGCGGCGTGAGATCGGCGTCGTCGACCTCTGATTTAACAGTTACAGAAAATAGTCGCATTCAAAGAGAAGCAAGATTGTACCAATCTACGAAAATCCCACATGACAGATAAGATAAAGTATCTTTTGTTCTCTGAGCACGATCATCCCACAAGTACATAGGTAGGGGCGTATTACGAATATAATTGGGAAATGTATGTATGAAGCGATATATATGTATGCATAATAAATAAATGATTCAACTTCTCCCCATCTGCGCAGTAATACTTTCTGTATGATATCCCAGCGTGGTGAATGTGGCGACGTGGCAATAACTAATGAACGATAACAATATGTTATCGTACTTTTTTCGTAACCTTGATACAAGCTCACCTTCTCAAATAGACAATGACTCAAGCATTACTTGCTCAGTGGCTTGTAAATGTGGATGCAAACGTCACCCTCTCTGCTCAATATTGAAAGTTTAAAAGGTATTTATTCTAACAAGTGTTAACAGGAATTTGACCAAGTTGAATGTGCAGACGGGGATGAATTTAGCAATGGAGAATTGTAAGGTAATGCCTTGTTTATTCAGTTTACAGTTGATATATATTATGTACGAGATTGTATTCACGGATTCTTGCTCCCTTATTCAACTCAATACTTCGCTAATAAATACCCACCAACTCGCTTTCTCGTATTGGATTTTTCTAAATCTTACTGTGTAACTTTTTTTATAATAAAAATACTGTAAGAAACAAACTTTATGAAACATTCGCCAAATAGTTTACAAAATAAAGTGTGCTCAGTCAAGATCCGTAACAAACACTGAATGATGTAACACTGTTAGTATTTATTTAATGAAAACGGATTTTAAACTTGCAATGGTCTGATACTGAATAATGGACGTTGTATGTACACACGCTGATATATAAATATATTCACGAAATCTAATAATTTTTATGATTCCAGAGTGATGCGAAAAACCTACTTATGAACGAAAACTTCTTTAAGATGCATCGCCTAATCAACGATAAAGCAAGCGAGAAGTTTCGCATGCGTTTTCTCGACTTGTGGAATGCATCTGGAAACCCAGAATGGGAAAATATTCCACACTTTGGGAGGACGTTTATTGAGGATATTGGATCAAGTTTATACTACAAAAGTAAGAAAATTCAGAAACAGCTTCTGGAGTCTGGTCAGATTAATACCTGGGATCTACCCCTGCTTTTTGCGTCAATTCAGTCAATTAACACTTATACAAATACAAAATCCTCACGAACTGATTTCGACGAACTGTTAAGAATTCGAAATAAGCTTTCCCATCTTGGCAGCACAGAATTAGGTGACGACGAATTTGCGAAGTTATGGAGTGCAGCCACAAATATTCTTTTGAAATATGGCCTAAGCCAAGGGGAAATTGATGACGTGCTAACCATGAAACTTGGGACAACAACCGAGTTTGAAGACAAACTCAATCAAAATCTTGATAAAATTAAGATGCTAAGAGAAGAAGGGAATGCTTTATTTAAAAATGGCGAGTTCAAGCGGTCCATCGAACGTTACTCTGAAGCAATGTTGGTCGAAAATATAAGTACTACGGAACTCGGGATTTTGTATTCAAATAGATCCGCAGCCCACTTGGGAGTCAAAAATTATTCTGATGCAAAAATTGATGCGAGGTGTTCCGTAAATCTAAGACCAAATTGGGGAAGAGGTTACTACAGACTGGGGTGTACTTATGACAAACTTGAGCAGTACGATAAGGCGCTGTACTATTACAATCTATCTTTGAAATATGATCCCTCAAATTCAAGATGTTTAGATTGCCAGCAAGGTGCTATTCACATGATTGCAAAGAGAAACCGTCAAGAACATCTGGATCCGCTGACAATGCCAGTTACAGACGCAGATATGCTTGCATTTCGCGAAAGGGTTACCGGTCCTGAAATGATTGCAGTTGGTGAATTGCTCTCCGATAAGATAAAGAAGGAAAGATACCTGGCTGGAGATCCACACTATACATGCACTGAAGCTCACAATTATCTTTGCGGTCTGAAGGGTTACACCCAAAATTATGAGCGGGCTGCCCAACTATTCGCCAAAGCGGCCAAGGAAGGGAGTGCGGAGGGAATGTACAATCTAGCAAAACTAACATCGGAAGGAAAAGGTGTCCAAAGAAATATGGTAGAGTCCTTTCAATTATTCCTCAGAGCAGCGGATCGGCCACGACTGATGGAAATATTACCGGGAACTGGAGTGAAGACAAGGAGAATTGGTGTCATGGAGGCCCAGCATGCACTAGGGTTACATTTTGAAACTGACGGAATACTGGGACGTGATTATCATCAGGTTTGAATGTTATTATGTTACAATCCATTAATGCATTAAGTTGTCGTGTTTCAAATGCGCAGGCTTACAATTGGTATACGAAAGCACTGCTTAACGGGAGCGGACCCTCCGCAAATAATTTGGGATTAATGTTCAGCGAGGGTAAAGGGTTTACCCCAGATCTTGAAAAGGCGGTTGGCTATTGGCAGATCTCAGCACTGTACGGAATCACCAGAGCCATGGAATCCCTCGCATTTCACAATTTTTACAACGGTAGACCAACAAGAGCCTTCAAGTGGTACACTTTGGCTGTTAAGAACAAGACAATGAACTCCAACCTGCACATGATTTTCGAGAAAGAGCCCCCACTAGAGCAGTTCGTTGCGGAAGAATTTGAACAAACCATTGAGGAGGAACTAATGGCGGGTCCGATGCGAAAATATGTTGATTTGAAGGACTACCACGAAAACATTGACGGGATGGAGAGGCGACGGGAAAGAAGACGTAAAATGCTGGAACTTGTCCAACCAAATGCGGCAGGCGGGAAGGTTCAGACAATTGTGAACCATCGAATTGCGCTTAACCAGATAAAGAAAGAAAAGTCATCTGAAAGCGACTGGACCACGAAGCAAGCAAAACTATTCCCCACAAGAACTCCAAATTTGCTTGGATTAAAACCAATTACTCTGAAGGAGCTGGATAAATCAATTCATGACAAAACTTATGACGGATTCGCAATTAGGTTGACGGTAATTGAAGATGCCATACTCGGATTGCCGTCGGTCCAGATTCTGGCGGAGGATGAAAATGGTTTGCATTATCTCGACAAAACATTCAGATTAATAATGTACATTAATTCACTATATGTATATATGTAGGTGACATTGAGAAAGTTTACATTTACAATTACCAGCAAGGGCCAACCACCCAAGACGAACTCGGATATGCCTGCGCTTTCACAGTAATTAATCCATATTTTAGACTAATGGCGGATAGAAAATGGGGCATTCGCGTTGACGATCCGAATCTACTGATCAAACATCCATTAATGAAGGGTCAAGATCGATGTAGGTATTGTGCAAAGATCGGGAGCACATTAAAATGCAGGAAATGCAGAAGAGTCTTCTACTGTTCAAAGAGTTGTTTGGAGAAAGACGAGACAGAATTGAAACATGGGTTGGTATGCTTAAAGAAAATTTGAAAATTTTCAGGCCGGTGCGTTAAATAACTTAGCGACATGCAATGCAAAGGCATGAAGTCGGACCTCCTTTATTTTGTAGTCCAATTAGAACTATTGGACAACCTTTCATTATTTGTGGGAGTGCTCACTTTATAAAGTGTTTCATTTTGGAAATTGGAGTTGGACCAGGTAAAAGAATTATTTAGATATAAATAATTAATTATTTATATGTGTATTTATTTGTTAATAAAATCTGAATAGCCAAATATATATATGTAAATAATATGTAGGAGGAAATTTTGACTTTTATCCGGAAACCGTAAAGTGTCATTTAATCGGGAATGATCCCAATGAATATTTTTATCCTACATTACAAGAAAATGTTCGCAAGGTAAGCAAGTTACACTGTGTCCAACAGAATTGGGTACATCATTATTATTTGCGCGACTATTTCCGACAAAGGCACCGTTAAGAAATACGTAAAACCGACAATATTTCTACAATATTTTTGAACTTCGCGTTTTTTAAAATAGTCACACAAATAGTTGTAATATTTTTATTGGACACAGTGTATCATAATTACATGCATAGGCGGCGGCACCGTGGGGCATTGCGGGAACAATAACATTATATTGTAGGAAAGGGAGCAGCTAAATAATATTGCAGGGATAGGGACGAGCTAAATTTCTCTGGCGACATTGTTCCCGATGTCCCCACGGTTCCGCCGCCCATGATTACATATGTAAATGAACAGAACGTATCATTACGTATTACGACTGCCTTTAAATGTTCCCAACAGTTCCCGCAAATCATCTTAGATCGGATTTCCTCCTCTTCTGCCGAAAACCTTATCGACATACCGAACAAAAGTGTGGATGCCGTGATAAGCACAATGGTGCTGTGCAGTGTTCCCAACGTTGACAAAACTTTGCAAGAAGTTTTACGTGTTTTGAAACCTGGCGGGAAATTTTTCTATATGGAACACGTAATTGATCCTGAAGCAACTTGGTGGAGGTCGTTGCAACAAATTCTGGATTTCCTTGGAATTTGGCCATTTCTTATTGACGATTGTCATTCAGCTAGAGATACGTCGAGCAAGATTGAAAACGCTGGATTTGGTTCGGTTGATCAGAAGCGGTTCTATCTTGACCCTGTAGGGTTTTGGGGACTTTATATAATTAAACCACATATTTATGGCGTTGGTGTTAAAAAAATATGAGTAAAACCAGGTGTACACCAACTGTGGAAACAATTTATGTGTGATTTTTTGTAATTCTTGAATTGTAGTAATCATACCTGCTCACATTCACTCAATTAGTAGGAAATGCATGAATCATGAATGAATAATTGCTCATTTGAGAATGAATGTCATTAATTGAATGAGTAGAATTTTTATTCATCAATTTTTTGCTCTATGCAGTTTTTGCTTAGTACCCGGTATGAATAAAGAATGAATGAATAAATCATTAATATGAACGAATAATGAATGAATAATGAAAATTGACACTTAGAATGAATGAATTTTTAATGAAGAAAAAAAAATTGAGCAGATATGCATATATCCGCAGTTTTATATTTAGCAATGTTAATTACCATATTCAACCTTTGCAGCAGGAATGTTTAATTAAGCAGCTAATTAGTTATTATCAATTTATAGGAATAAAATTTGATTCCAGGTCAGTTTATGCACTCATCAATTTCATAAGGAATAAATAGTCTAATTTTTGTCTCTCACATATGGCGTATACATAAATGGTTACAAATATATGTTTTTAATGTATGAACGAGTGGAGATTGATTAGTCATTGCAATTGTGTTTTATTTAGATGGATGCATGAGTCGGATGTATCTAATCTCACTGCTCCTGCTCTCACATAAATATTTCTACGGATTTCCGTCTTCGCTCGGCTGCAGCAGCGGTCGATAGGTTCTTGGTGACATTTTCAAAGTATTTTTTTTCAGATTCTCCATAGTTTTTTATGTAAATTATGATTTTCGTACCGGCGCAGCCCTGTTTTTCGAGGTGACGCCAGGCCTTTGTAAAATTCTTGCCGATCGCATTTTTGGCTTTATGTGAAATGGGTTTTTTGAGTCACTTCAACACTCACCAAAAATTCATTTTCCGTCAAAATCTTCTGAAATTTTGACCACTTATATAAAAAATGTTGGAGATTTTTTACAAAAAAAAAACAAATTCTTATATTTACTTTACCTCCGAAAACCTTCATAACCTTCAGTTCCCAGTCCTTCGTCTCTATGACTCAGCAAGTCTAATTCAATATGAGCCAAGATACATCCACAGGAAGTTCAAAGTTGCATTACACATACAAAAATGCAACAACAATCTGAACGAGAATGATGGCCTAGAAGTCAGCCCGATGTGATCAACACGTATGTATCCTACCACTGCTTAATCCCCCATAACAGCGTTGCTACGATACAATGCAGACAATTATAAAATACTCGGACACATTGTACATATTGATTTCATTATATATTTTTCATGTATTCTCAAACTCCTGACGAAGAAATCAGACAGATCTAGAAAGTGAATTTTAAACACCAAGGAATGTCTTCCGAGTATTCCTTTGAAGTTTCGACCAGTAGCATTTTATTACTAACACGGTAGAATAATGTCAGTAATAAAATGATTACAATTTTGCTAAGAGTGTAGTTTATGTACATATATGGTAGGGATATCTAGATAAGCAGACTGGTTATGGGTTTACCATATCATCAGGATAAGTGATAAGCAGCGTGAAAATCTGATTAAAGACGAAGTCGTAGCTGAAAAGGATTGCCATCTTCTTGACCGCCCACACCAATCCCACCTGCACACCGAATGGTCGAAGTGCTCCTAGCTCTTTCCGGCGGAGCTTTCTCATTCTCCGAGACACGTTCTGATCGTGCACTAAAACGTGGTGAAGCTTGGTTGACTCTTCGTACACGATGGTGGCAGGATGCATCGTAACGGCCAGGATGACGCAGCAATTGTAGACCAAGACGGGAAACGGGATGTACTCAAAGAAGGAGAGGAAACCATAAAATCGGATGGAGGCAAATCCACAGGCAATTATTACTGTTCCAGGAATCCAGAAAAAAACGATGGGAATGAGCAGCCAGGTGAAGGCATAGTTGTAGTACAGCATAAGCAAATGCAAACGTTGAAAAGTTTGAATTTTTTCCAACGTTGGGATCTTGTGTTTTCTAGAAAATGAGAGAAACTGATATCGTCGTTGTTCGTGCAAAAGTTGTCGGATCGTTTTTAGCCTTACGGAATTTGATACGCAGAAGAGATGCGTTTATTCAGTTTAAAAAATTCCGTGAGGCTAAAGACGATCCGACAGCTTTTGCCCGAACAACGACGATATTCAAAATCAGGGCCAAAATTGCCACGCTTTTCCTCTATTTTTAATAAAAAAATGTGAATGAACCTGATAAATTGTAGCCAAAAGGCAGAAATGTGAAGAGCAGGAAACATTGTTAATCCATCCGTTGCCATCATAAAGCTTTGAGCAGCGTTGGAATAAAGCTCGAAGGTTAGACAGAGTAGAAAATGCAAGCTTATTCTGTTAGCCTGTTGTGAAAAGAGGGAATAGACGTACTGTACTCGTGTAGGGACAACGAGGAACATGATCGTCACAGCGGTATTGTAGAAGAAAACTACTGACATGATACCCAGAAAGTTCAAATCGACAAGGGTTAACTTGCAGATCCAATTCCTCATTCGGGCAATTTGATTTTCTGGAAGACATGCAGATTAGAAAAATACGTATAAACAATATGCACATGCATATCAATACCTGTTCAATCTCATTCATAAGAGCTATTATGATGCTGAATGAAAGTGATATTGGTGAAGTTTGAATTAGCATGAGTGAAGAACTCATTGACAACAGTTATAAATGCCATTCCTCTCATTTCCTATCACCTAATACATGGAGCACAGTAAGAATCATAAGGAATGATATGAAATGATTTTAATTGAAAATCACAGGTTAGGTCAATCAGAATGATATGACCATGAATGCAATATTTGTTTTTGAACACGTACAGTATGTGCACAACTAGCAGCATCTCGTACTCAAGGCACATTCGACATGATCGAATAAATCTTGATAAATAACAATGGATACAAAATAAATAGAATGGACCAAACGGGGTAAACCTATTTAGTCACCTTTTTGAAGGATGGTAGATATCCGCTTGAGGCCGCTGAAGAAGAGGACAACTTCACTTTTCCTTTGATACCCATTGTAATAAGTGACCAAGGCCCAATATGACTTAGTTATCCAAATGTAGATCCAAATCACATCAGGGAAACTGGGCCGTGGCGAGTGTAGCACTTGGGCGAGACGCCATAAAAGAAAATATACGTAGAGGGCAGTATGAGCCACGGCAACGGCAAAGGAAATCTTCCTGCAAGAAGATGTGCACTCAATGACACACTCTTTCTCATCGCTCCACGTGTAAGGATTGCTTCCCAGTTGGGAGAAAATTTTCATATAAATACGAATCAGAGTAAGGGTGCGCTTGTTTAACATATTTGTATGTAGGTGATGCAAGTTTCGAACTGAAATGCAACCAGATATTTACGTTAAATATTTTTATACGCAGATTATTACATGAGTAGAAGGAAATTGAAACTGGCAGATCTGGACACTATTAGAGCTAGGCACAAACCTTTTATTTGAAAAATTTTATAGTGAGGAATGTTGGATATGAGATTATAGGCTAGGGTAGAACAATTTTAGCCCATTAACTGGAGCGAATTTGCGAATGTGAATGTGTGAAGGTAAAGTTTGAGTAAGTATGAAAGTACCCATGAGAACTCGGGGTTTCAGTGCATCATTATTGGGTATGGTTATTAATAGGTGGGGGAAAATAATTACCTTTACTAATATAGAGGAGGTTCGTTCTCTAAAACAATAGATACATAGGTGTTGGCCTTCGCTTTAGCCGTGATCATAATCGCTCGAAGTAATTGACATTTGCAGCTGTCTGGTGGGACATGAAGTCTGTTTGTCATGGAATTTATTCAACTTTAAAAAGTTCTAAACCCAAGGCCAGGCAAGGTATGACGTAACTCTGGAAGAGAACCCTCTTCCTGCCAAGCACAGATCTGGATATATTTGTAGCAACACAGGCCTGTACCTATAATCATCTGGATCCTATGGCAGCTGCAAACTAGACGAGACCATGGAATCAAACTACTCCAGGGTTGGACAAAACACTCATGGTTACTTCATAACGTCGGACGTCAAGGTTAGTAATTAACAAGTCGGGAGGTTCTCCTTGTCAGGGGTGGAGTGGATCAAAGTTAGTGGGCAGCTATGTATATAATCATTAAAATGAGTGGCATTGAGGTTAAAGCATTTTCACCAGAATGCATCAGTAGCATAGTAGTTTGTTCACCAATTATTATTGATGTTAGAACTGTTATGTCAACAAATAGTTGAAGCCAACGAGGATACTGTTTATTTCGGAGGAGCACGACGAGTCAGTAAATACACATAACTGAAATTAACCATTCTGCTGAAAATATTGAATATGTCTTCCAAAATATTCTATTAATGCAATTTCTGGCTTGTCACTGGCCTGGCTATATTTGTAGTCACGCAAATTATTATCTTGATCATTTTGACTGATAGACTTATCGACCCAGTGAGAGTTAAATAGGTGCATCAGAGCACATCATAAACCCGCAATCGACATGTATGCCTATTGATTTACATATTTCAACTTTGATTGAAAGTTGGCACATTCTACCTCCTTTTCCTCTATTTGATTGTGCAATCAGAGGGATACGATTAAATACTCTTAATTGGGTTGGGTCTTTCATCCTTCGCTATCAATTTATTTATTCCAAATTCTATTGTAAATATGGATTATATTCATGACCTGCATGCAAATGTGTTGTGGAAAAATACATATCTGACTTTCGTAGTACCGCAGCCAAGTGGTACAAGTACAGCTTATAATCTATTTATTTGCTCTTTTAAATGCCGGTGAAAGAAGTTACAATGGTGCAATGTGCGCATGCAGGTTTGATCATGCATTATGCATGTAATAATTTTTACATACTTGTGTCCTTCAACTACGTATATAGGCGTAGTTGAACTTGTTAACGTAGAAGTACTTACGGAGTATCATATTGCTATGTGAAGCTAGTCTAATTAATCCATCTACATGGGACTGGACGCATTATACCTTAACCAAGATCGGATTTGCGATTGCAGAATTCCATCTCTACCTCTTCAGCAGGCTGTTATTACGCAATATATTTCTTCGCCACCGGTACAGCCAAGGTTTTAAATGACTGCAAAGTTATATCCGTAAGTGACGAAACTATTGAAAGTCAATTAATTATGTATAGACGGATTCAGATATATGCCAAAATTCTAAATTCTTGTATCAGAGACAGGATCTTCTTGGCGATGGCGCAAATTGGTTTATTGTTCCAAATTTTGACAGGTTTTGCTTTCATTGCATTTGGAAATATGTCAGACTATACTCCTGGGATCTACGGGGTCCCTTATTTGTGTATATTCTTTTTGACTGTGATTTGTTTTTCCATTGCCGGGAAGTTTAACCAGATTACGATGAACTGGGTTGCGGGTACAAAATGGATATGTAAAGCTAAGAACAATAAAATGATACTGAAGTCCCTGGTTACGGTCAGAATTCAGTTTGGCAACAATTTCGTGGACCCCTTGACACCGTTAGTTGAACAGCAATTTTGTGCTGCGCAGAGAGCTTCGTTGCCCTTGATGAGGGGCTAAGGCTAGATTAAACAGCATAACAAGGTAAAATGTGTCTCATTAGTACATATATTAAGTACATAGAGTAATGCACTTGGGTAACTTGGAGAGTAAGAAGATAAAGGATCAGTACAAAGGAGTCTATGTATTATATGTATCTATGTGTCTTGTCTATGTATCCTAAAACTGTAGCTTTTCAACCTGATTTGCCAAATAGTCTATCCGCGGTACATATATATTTTGTACTAGAGTTAGAAAAATATCATTGGTGTTACTAACAATGGGGGTCTCCCAACGTATGCTCTGAGATTTGGACGAAACTGGTGTCAATCGATCACAAATTAGTATGAAATTTGCAAATGCAACTATCTGCAAATGCGCAGGTTTGGCGGAGATATTTGCCTAAAAAGAGGTGAAAACTCGCAAATTTGTAAGGCAAAATTCGAAAAGTGTAAAATTGATTGCATTTTGGGCGCGTTTTCGCCTCCTTTTATGCAAATATCTCCTCCAAACCTGCGCATTTGCAGATAGTTGCATTTGCAAATTTTATACTAATTTATTTTGTGATCAATTGACACCAGTTTCGTCCAAATCTGCGAGCATACGTTGGGAGACCTCCATCGTAAGTAATTATATATGGTGCGTAAATATAAACGAGTACAAGAAATACGTGTTCCAAAAATGTGTTTATTTCCAAAGATGAAATTTTTTCTTGACAAATCCTTCTGATATGCCTAGTACCTGGTACTTGCTACATTAGCATCCATCATATCTCTAATTTTGTTTTGGAAGCTGTGGGTCAGTTCTTCCAAAACGGTGCGCGATATTTTTTTACAATTTTTTTTGGAATGGGCGCACTAAAAAACCATGACCATGTGGAACTGGATGTTCATATGTGGTACTCTTCTGACAAGAGCACAAATTCTCGAGAAAATCAAATTTGGGCTGTTTCCGTGCCACGTCCCCAAATAGTAAGAATGGAGAAAAAATGAATGAATAAAAAGTCCACTCATTCATTCTGGAATTACGAATTATCATTCATGATTAATTCATTTAATTGGTTAGTCATTATCCCAATTAATATTAATTGAAGAAATTGGATAAAAGTAACACGTCAGATAAATTAATATTAGCATAGGCGAAGCGTTCAGTACCGTGCTGTGTATTAATGCCCATACATTTCATGCCTTATCCTACGTATGTATTTGGTTAAAACAAGTCAACGCTAGTCCCATCGTGTCTTATTCTCACTACTCTTATTCGGTCCTTTTTCAGTCAAGTCATTTATTCAATTCATCCAGTCATTGTAAAGACTAACAGTAAACAAATGTTTTATAATTTCAAGACAAGTAAATCAAGTATGACTTTAAACTGAACCACCCCCCGTTTGTCCAACGTCGTTCACCTTATCTAAAAATCACCCAAAGTTACAAGTGCATAACAATAAGTTACCAACGTCACACATTGAACACTACACAGAGTCTGTGTCACAGACCACACACCCCTTTCAAGTAGCATGACTGTACTACAGAGATGAGTCAACCCTTTATCTGATTTTCAATCGGTTTATACCATGAGTCACATCTCATAGTTGCTACACAGTCACTCCATATCTGGATGAAACCAGTTTTTTTTATCGCAGTGACAAAATATCATCCGATCGTCGCTCGTATTAACATACTAAACAGGTCCATGTTAAGCTAATACATTTGAGTGAGTTATCAGGTATGTAAATTGATATTCAGCTCTCCTTCTGACTATACATTCTACATACAAAAGCTCAAGTCTATTTGACTCTGTCAATTAACTAACTGACTCCGCGTTCACAGCACCATTACTTTATTCCACTACCAGTAAAAATTGAAATGGATACTTTAGCAGATTTTGCATTAGTACTCCTAGTCTTCGGTATTTCGACAATTTCATCTCAAAAACTGGAATCGTCTATCGATAAGAACAGAAATGCCCATACTTACGAACCTCCCATGACAGCAATCCCAGCAGGGAAATTACCAATGCCGTTGTATCGGCCAATGGTTTCCTACGATAAATCTGATTCGTCCATCTATATATTTGGAGGTGTGAGAGAGGAAAGGTACCAAAATCAAATCCTGCGCTATGACATTGCCACGTCCACCACGACTTACGTCGGAAATATACCTGGTTTCGGGTGGATTTATGAAGGCGCTGTTCAACTAGCAAGACCAGGGGAATTTTTTTATTTTGGCGGGGACAATTCACAAAATAGCCAAGCATATAAATTTAATCGGGAATCAAATCATACCATCAAAGTAGCCGATCTCCCCCGGAGTGTTAACTCTGTGACGACAGTAATCCGCGAAAGTTCATCCGCCGAAGTTATATTGTTTGGCGGTAATGGGAAACGAGACGGAGTACTTAAATTTGATTTAGAGACATTCGAATCTTCAGAAATTGGTAGTTTGCCAAGTCAATGTACTGGCAACCCAACCAGTGTACTTGTGGAAGACAAGGCACACATATTTTGCCAATCATTTAATAGCACCAGTAACGACTCAGGTAAGAACAAGGCTATGCATGTGTTGGAGGGTAAGTTTGCATACTAACTGTATGTCCTTCTGGTCAGGTTCTCTGCTAGTCATGAATCTTAACTTCATGGATTCGCAAACAATTCTGATGGGCTGGCCCAGAGTGGATCACCCTCAATCCGCTATATTTAATGGGCAGCACATCTATATAATTGGAGGGTACTTCGCCTTGCAGGGACTAAGCACTAATGGAATGATAAAAGTAGACCCAATGACACATTTGTGGACATTCGTCCCTCTCAACGACATGCCGATTAGAAATCAAGAGTATTTTTATAAGCAACCACCCACAGCTGTTTATGTGGAGGAGATGAACAGAATTTATATGATAGGCGGGGTTTCGATGCATAAAGTCATTGGCGACACGTCGTACCATGATGATGTTTGGTATGTTGATCTCAACCCGGCACAGACCTCTTCGACAACAAATAATCCACCTCCATCTTCTCCGGACTCCTCTACATACGCACCAACGACTACAACAACGCTGAGTCCTGACACATTCAACTGTAACAATCGTACTGATGGTAACGAATCTTTATTTTGCGTAATTAAAGTTATTATTAGAAACTCCAATATCCACTCTTAATTCATCTAATAGTAATAATAATGCAAAGGCGGGAAATGTGACACCTCGCTATAACTGCGACTAATTTTCATTTCCTCATAGTCGCAAATGGCGGACCCATATTTCTTTCTTTCCCAGAATGCGCACAATTAAGAGCGTAGCGGCACCTACAAATTGTTTGTCAGCAAAAATTAAAGATTTTTAAATCCCAAGCTTTTCGAATTTTGGCACAAGTTCTAAACATTTGCAACAATTAATTAGAACAGTTAGAATTCCTTCCTGCACAAATTAAAAATCTATTTTCACTTCAATTCCGTGTAGGTACACCAACGACTTCACGTGCAAAGTTTCGTGTGCACAATAATTTATCCTATATTTAATACATCATTATATGTATATACACATCTCATTGTAAAACTATCCTGGCAGGCTACTACCCACACTCTTTGGACTGCACCTTATACCTAGTGTGCTACGATGGGTTAGCGGAGGTTCGTCCATGCCCACGACCATTTAATTTCGATCCTTTATTGCGCCTCTGCCGACCACCAGAAGTTGTTGATTGCCTGGCAACAACACTCTACGCGGTTCACATGGAGACGAAACTCCCCAAAGTACTCCATTCAATTACTGTTTTCTACGATGGGGAGGATTCGATCTACCTGTTTGGTGGAACAAGTCTCAACTCCTACCAGAGTGACGTCATCATGTATGATATTCCTTCAGGTAGTCTCACTAACATAGGCAGCATGCCATATCTTGTGCATGGAGCGACCTCTTATGGCGACGGGGTTGGAAATATACTGACATTCGGAGGCGCAGGGTTTGGTGAGTATGTTATGAAAGGTGAAACAAATACAGTTGAAAAATATGAATAGTCACTTACACAACTATCAACTTTATCCGTAAACAACAACAGAACCCGTTAGTTGTCAATTAATCCTATTTTATTTCAGGAACTTATCCTCGGGATTTATCTAATTAGGAGGAAAACCTGGTTATTGCAAATACATTTAACAGTAAAATTTAAAACAAATTAACTTTGCCAGATGCCAAATTATATTAATTTTATAATATGTGCATTAAACTATAGCATTTGCTGTAGTAAATTCTTATACAGATTATCATGTCTCTTGGTGAAGTGATTAACCACTTTCCACTATCCGTTAGTACAATATTGGGCATGTAACAATGTCAAAATATAAATTCTTCACTGTGGTGATTGTCACCTAATTATTTTTTGGATATTCATGATGTATGTTTTAATGTATTTATCTAAATATACCCCACTTTTGGTGCTCAATATTTAAATCACCATCTCATTGCTACATATATTCTTAATTACTAAAATAGGATCCGGAACTTAGCGTAATCTGAAATTCAGTAAATTCCAGAAATGTAAAATTATGTACCGCTTTTGGGCCACAATCAGCATGGAAATAATCAATCATATGTATAATCTGCAATTGAGTCATATTTGCCTTCGCATAATATGAAACGAACACGATCTTTATCACGATCTTCACACATTTTTATTGATTATGTCCACACACAACCATACCATGTTTGCTTAATTCAAAATTGATATGACCGCAGTAACCCCAAGACAAACAGTTTAATCGGAGGAGAGTCATGAGTGCTTAGGATACGAGGCCTCAATTATGTACATTACACAAATATTTGTCTTCTTTGAGGCATAAAATAATTGTACAAACCATTTACTTATTTAATGTCATATTTACAAACAAACGAATGCTTATTAACAAATGAAATTAATAAAACGATTAAACACAATAATTATAATTTTCAGTAAAAAAAATATTTTAGTGCTTCGTTTACAATACGTTTAGTTATGGAATTACATAAATATGTACATTTTGCAAAATTTTAGAAAATCCGAACGTCTCAATAACCAGGTAAGGTTTGTTATTAACCATTTTCCTAAATTTAACAAATCCTCCGAAAATGACGGAATCCTTTGTGCCCTCATCTTTACAGATTAACGGCCATCGTCGCTCCAAGTTTGCCTCGAACGTTATCGGGTCGCACAACTTCTAGGGATAGGTAAATGTCACGCCGAATTAATTAGTGCGGTAAGAAGACCGTAATTAAAAGCTGGAAATATTGGTTACAATAATGAGTAGTAAACCCATTATTTCCACGTAGTGGAGAATAGCGTTGTTAGGGGCCAAGTGAGACGATCGTACCCAGAAAACTAAAACATGAAGAGAAATCTCTCGCCGATTGGATGTCTTCTGGCGCAAAAACTGGTTTTACATTTTTTTTACGTTTTTGTACATTCGACGATCGTGCTTGAGGGACGTGCTCCTCAGTTAACAAAAGGATGCACATATAGACAAATTATTAGGCACATATAGCCTAAATAATTATTACAAAAACATGGAACTCTTATAAAAAACCAGGGTTAGGAAAATCTCCGGGTTTCACTCCCAGGCTACGTACTAATTTACTTTGTATTATTGGGTTTTACTCAATGGATGGGGTGAAATAATAAAATACAAAAGTTGAGACCTAAGTACTTGTTGGGAAATATATAAGACAAAACATCTTTTGGTCTCGGAGCACCATCATCCCACAAGTCCTGCGTATTAAGAATATAATTGGTAAACGTATGAAGCAACATTTGCACAATATGTATAAGTATGATTAAACTTTTATCTAATAGAGTAGCCCGCTTGGGAAGTGGTGATGAAGTTACCTTATTTTGATGGGAAAATGGCCAAAGACAAAATTAATAAATATGACATTTTGTCAGAACATAATAGTTATATCCACCATTAATTTTCAGCAAACATACTCAATAATCACAGTCCATCCTCTATTTCGTATTATTTTTTTTTACTTAACGCCCTCATGTGTTGTCTTTTGCAAGGCGTCGCAACTTCTGTGCTAAATTTTTATCCATTGGAACCGAAGTTAGCTTAAAGTACCAGGCAGGGCGTTCCAAGTTCTCTGGACCGCAAAATTTTGTTTTAGAGTTTTGTAATTGTGTCCTTATATGATTTTTTTCTGACTTTAGTAAGCTTTGTAGCGGACATGTTCGTACGTATACGTACGAACAACGTATACGTACGTATACGTACGAACATACGTACGTATAATCCATATATGGATTTTAGTCTGCAAAGTATACACTTTTAAACGTTAAAATTGTTGTCCAATATCTTTGGTTGATTTAGAGTTGCAGGCATGATGTCATCGTTTGAACGTTTCGTTAAGACAAATTTCTATGGATTTCCGTGCTCGATGAGTTGCAGCGGTTGATAGGGTCATGGCGATTTTTTGATAGTTACATGCTCAGAATTTCCATGCTTTTTTATGTAAAAGATGATTTTCTCACCGACGCAGCCATGTTTTTTTGAAGTGAAGCCAGGGTTTTTAAAATTCATATTGATCGCATTTTTGGACCTATACATATATGTATAACTCATTTCGCGAATTCCTCACTTGCAATTCTCAAATTTATTTTCAATTAAAATTTTATGAAATTTCAGCCGCTTATTGTAAAAATTGTGGAAATTTAAATTTAAATAAAAATTCTGAAATTTTCATGCCTTTACTTCTTTTCAAACGCCAACAAGTTCCCATCACCACTTCCCAAGAGGGCTACTCTACTTTATGATATCCCAACGTGATTAATGTGGTGACGTGGGAAAAAGTTATGAATGATAATAATATGTTATCGCCAGACTCCGGTTACATATGTTCTTAAAACCCCCGAAAAAAGTATGTAATATGTTTAACCAAATCGCCAAAATATGTATAAACATTTTTTTAAATTTCTTTTAAATTGCTTCAAATTTAATTTTTTGGAATGCTAAAAAAAGCTTCTACATTTCAATGTGACAAACCAAAAGCATTTTCGCATGCATAAATAATTCATTAGAAAAATGGGTCCTATTTTTTTACTTTTCGACCTTCATATCTAGGGGGTGGGGACCAAAGGGTCCATATTTTCCAAACTATTCGGAATTTTGAAATTCCTTCCATAACTCACGGTACGACAATTTTTCAAAATTTGCATGTTTTTAGTTATGGCCAGATCTTTCAATCTTTGACCTTGATTTACGGACAAACTAGGTCACCTCCGGGGTCGGGCCTATGACAAATTTTGTTGCAGGCATTTAGGGCTACAACATATAGAACAATTGGGAAATTTCACGGAAAACCATTTTCTCGTAAGCCCATGGCCATGTCTTTTGCCAGTATTTCAATAAATATATGTATAACGATGATAATCAACATATATAGACATATATTCGTATAAGGCTGGATTGATTTATTGAATTATTATTTGATGCCATTTGCGTTTCCAACTCATGAAAGTCATAGATATAAAACCTGAATTTTCGCACTCAATTGCAACCAAGTCGAACAGAGAGAACTTGGAAAGTTCCCAAGCTAACGGTATAAATTTCGCTGGTAGGAATGAAGCAGGTGCTCGGTCCTGTAAAGTTCCTTTCGTAAAATGCGGTCCAATTTGACATCCCGGTGATGAGAAGACCACTCGGCGCAAAGTCGAACGACGCCTCATATTCAGTGGCAAGAACGATGACTTCAATTCCTGAGTAGTGATCTCCCGAGTTAGGAACTCCATTGTAGGCGGAAATTGCCGACGTTGATGTGTCTGAAGGACCCATAAATCGTAACGACTTGGTTATTTTATCCCCATTTCGCCAACATGATATTCCTGAAACGTTGTTAGCATTGAAAGGGTTGGAGGATCCAGCGACGAAATTTGCGTTCTCGTAACCCCGCCACCTAAAAGTTCACAAGAAAAATGTTGCACACTTACTAGGGGTGGAAATTTCGAAAAAATTCAACAAATTCGCAAAACCGGATTATTATTTTTGTATTACACTTTAAAAGTTTGTGATCATTTTAAGCTAAAAAATTTGAAAATCCGTGCAGGATTTCAAAAGTTATAGTGGCTTTAAAAATAAAATCATGTGAATTGAAGATTTCATTACCATATTGTATACAGAAAATTTAGCCTATAATTCAGTACTCACCATCCCGTGACACAATATGATCGAGCAGAACGGAAGAACTCTTCTTCCAATGGGGTGAGCGAGGACCTTTTTGTAGAAAATGTGACCCGATCCCCATCGTAATTGTGTCCAGAGTATAGCGTCAATTGAGGAAAGTAGGACATACAAAGGGAAATAAGTCCATGGAAGATGGCAATGGTAAAAATGTAACGAGAAAGCATTTCTAGACTTGATACAGAATTTGTTTGGACTTGAATTACTTGCAAAAGCTTGGTCGGCCGAGGAGATTTTATAGTCAGCAGAACGTCCGAAAACTACGCGTGGTTTGTTTCTGATTAACACCATATCGGGACATTTTAATCCCAACATTCGTGAAATGAAGGGGTGCAATTAATTGAAAATTGTTTTTCACTGAAGGAGATTAATACATGGGTTGGAGTGTGTGTAGATATGTATGAGTATGGGATCAAGGTCTTAACATAAATATAGGCGTCAGTAAAACAGATTATGTTCAACATATACCAGGAACCACCAAATAAATCAGGTGGCATTTGTACATAAGTTATCTTGTATATGACCATACAGTACATATGTATGTGAGATTGTGCTCGCATTTATAAATACATATGTAATCCATGCATTCGTCAGGTGAGATTAGTTGTCCAGGGATGTATGGATTTATGTACATATGTGGGCGTATTGATGAAGGTTGAAGCTTATAAATTTTCCTGCTCCTGTTTTATGTGTATGCCAGAAAGAATGAAAAAAGTTTTCGCGACGTAATGAATTAATAGTCGAGTCCCTCATCGAGTAGGCTGGAAAATGGGATTTCGTCCGGTTTTCCGAGGTTATGTATGAGAAAAGATTTTGCCGAAAAACTCTTTGTAGTATTGGCGTGTGCGGATCAGCTCTGCCTGGAGAGTAAGAGGTTCGGGTTCAAGTCCTGGCAGTCGAAACTTTTTGCAACTCAGTTGTCACCATACTCCTTATTAATCTGACTAGGAGGTCCTGTTATACATTCGAGAATAAAAAATACACCTCGTAGCTGACAGATGATCAGGTCAAATTTATTTGAACACTTGACGACCGGTTTTGGTATCCTTCATCAGGTCGTGTTCTATTACAAGAATATAGTACACAAATGAATAAAATAGTTAAAAAATTATAATGATGACAGCTAATAATAAGTAGTTGATACGAAATTGTTACCTTAATTTAAAATTAAATAGAATACAAAATATGATTTGACTAAATTATCCATGAGATGGAGAATTAAACTGGAATTATAAAGAGAAAGAATTTCTTATGTTAATATATCATAAATATATGTATATACATACACACACATACGCTATTACAAATACAACTTTCAAAATACAAAATAGGTAATAGTTACCCGTATATCAGCTTATCTCCAGTAAATTTAGCAAAATTTCAGGTGTCTCAAAATAATGTATTACACATCAGTAAAAGTAAGTAAATAAATCAAGTGGAAGTGTGGAGATAAATACTCATTCAGTTCAGCCACCACCATAGCGTCATTCATTTGTGTGTCATATTACTATTTAGTATACAATTTTGTAGGCTTTTCACTTTGCCATAACTAACATATATTTTTAACTTACGTAGTATTTCTTTATATGCAGTGTGATTGCTTTGTTCAGCTTGCATGCGAATAAAATTAATGGCAATATTACATAATCTAGATAGAGATTTGTAGAAAGGGAGCACTACAAATGATTTTACATCTAGTGATTTCAAGTCGTAATTGGACCACCCACTCCGACGAATGGGGGAGACCACACCCTAGATAATATGAACGATGCCGATCGAATTCCACAGTTTTCTTCACTTGAGCAATACCATCTTTAGCAGGTAACTTTAAAAGGTGGCCACTACGACAAATTAAATCTTCAAAGCGACTGGGTCGTGTTTGTTTAAGAGGTGCGTTCAGCTCAGTAGTGGTCAATCTGCTGTAGCAGCTCGTCAGTAAGAGAGTGACTGGTCCCCAGGCGAGGAACATATAGCGGTAAAACGAGCCATGGTGACCTTTGACCTTTTCTAGATTTTTTCAAATTTGAACCGGTAGCCATTCACAATCTTTCTGGACTACCACTATGCAAAATTTGGAATTATTTTTTCCACCTATTCATGAGATATTACAATTTGTAAAGGGTGGAAATACTTCCGGCCCATACTGTAGATATTAATCCTAGTACTACTATTTAATCAAGACCTTAAACTATTTGATGCGTTACAATGTTAGCAACAAGGTAACTGTAAAGTCGGATATCGTATTCCATACTCTGACGCTCCATCTGTTCGATATCATTCCAAACGGACCACACCTCGCTCCAATTGGTCTTAACGATCTGGCCACTTTTTTCTCATACTTAACGTTACACTTCCTTCTCACAAAATCCACGAAATCCGCAGATTTTGTAAATCCTTCCGCCGCTTGCGGTAACAGGGTAGACTGAAATATCACTGCAAGCATTGTTGTGAGTGGAAGTAGCGGATACACAACTATCGGGAGTGACACGTGCATCCTGATTGTTCCATATATCGAGCAAATAGTTATACAAACCCCACAAAATAAGAGGGGTGGAACAGATCTGTAACAAAATGCTGCGTTGATATATTGATTCCAGATTTGAAATTCGCGGTAGATTCTGATTTCCCACGAGGCGAGGATTACCTTTCCCCTCCATATTTTAAATTTTAGCATTTCCCGCAATATTTTTGCTTCCATGGATACGCTTTGCATCACGATAAGCCCCACAATTAAAAATGCCAGGGCTGACTTCATTACTTCAATCATTAAAAAATAAGACAAGCAGATTGTGATAGGTTTCAAGATCAAATTCAGCATTCTGAAGTCACTCTTTAGCCAAATATTTATAGGATGCATGTTAATTATAGCTAATCCTGGCCCGAACAAAATTACTAGAATGTTGGATCCCCACAAGAGAAATGTTAAAACGTTTTGTATCCACCCAGGTGATATTTTCGTGGTAGCTTTGGCATTCCCATGTACTGAAGCATTAAGAAAACGTAGTTAAGTAGATTGCATTTCCGTAAAAAACACTTCTTTAAAGACATTACCTTCAATTTTCTCTTCAAATTCGACAATCCGATTAACAATGGTTGGAATGACGTTGGGATGAAACGCTAGTGTTGCAGACATCCCTATCATGGCGACCGGTAAAATTACGTAGTAGATATTCACAAGTATTCGAAGTTTTTCGATCATTTCTGTTTCCTGGTCAATTAATCGATAATTCGATTTTGTGAATAGTTTCCAAACCAGAAAACATCCGCATGCCGTAATATGCGCAAAGAGCCATGTGAAGGAAGATGTCGAAATAATTTGCCTCTTAATGCTGTCCATTTTGACGATGAGTTCCTTCTTTCTTAGTGACAAATCATATGGTAGGTGTGATAATTTGTTGTACATTTTACAAAATGTGTGGAGAAGTTGCCACATTATGTGTGGTACTAAGAAACATTCCGTGGCTGCCACTTTGTCCTTGACTATCATTTTCGAAATGTTGACAAGTTCTAAGTAACGGAATATCTATAATCTTGTGATATAGTTTTATGAATGTGATGTAATTAAAAAGATATTAGTTTACGCACAAGTCTTTGTCTACGTTATGTTTCACATGAAAGGATGTAAATACAGTTTAAAATGGAGCACGCATTAGAATGTGTTTCACCAAACAAGATTTTTTATGCAATTTTCAGCACCGTGATATTTTAAGTCAGGAGGTGAGGTAACGAAATTGAAACTGGTTTTTTAATTTACGAAGATATAACCGTTTCGTCAGATAAAATTCCTTACACAATTTAAGTCGATGGAGCCAGTCGATATTATTTTATCCAACTCAAAAATGCAATAACCAACAGTATTTTATTTGGCGAGCTATGTCTTATAAATTATTTATATTTATATAAAGAATATTACAAGGCACGATATGTACTAGAGAGCAGACCCGGCATAATAATTATGTGAAGTCCTAGATACTAACCTGTAGATGTTAAACTACCATACTGGTGATAATTTGTCACCAACAGTAATATCTATATTACCCTGAATCCACATTCCTATTGGTTTGAATGTGGGTTCATGTCGGTAGGATACGGTATTTGTTTAGAAGATTGTCAATTCATTAGGTATTAATCAATTTATTCACGAGCGGACTGGAATAATTCTTTTAATACAAAACATATCTGCAATAAGAGTCCTTACGATTCAATTTATTTTCTTTCTTTGTCAATGAATAATATATAAATATCAACTTGCATAAACTAAACCCAAAAAGGACTGCTTAGGTGTGACTACATGTGTGATTGAAAATGGATCATAAACATTCGCCTCCACCTACAAAGAAAACAGATGGGTGCGAGGAGTAAATTTTCCACTTTTAGTCGAACACTTTTAGTCAAACGTATTTTCACCTACATAAGCAGTCCTTTTTTTGGGTTTTTAGCCCGAGCCAGGGCTTATGTACCCGTTATGTCTGTCTGTCTGTTTTTCTGTCTTCGCGATAACTCTCTTTAAACTCAACCGATCGACTTGAAATTTTTACCACATCTATATCGACCCAAACGAGGAGTCAGGTTCGAAGATGAGCCAACTCGGTCCACTGCATGGTTGGCCGGTGGGGGCTATATGGGTGGTGGGGGTCTTATACCCCGAAATTTCAAAATAGTCGTAGAAAGCTGAAATTTGGTACATAGGTAACTAATGGCTTCTAATGAAAAGATATGAAGGGAATTTGCGAAAATTTTTATCTGGAGGGACCCTATGGGGTCACCCAAACTGATTTTTCAAAATCGTCCAATTAAGCTGAAATTTTGTACGGAAGTCGATAACAGCTTATAATGGGAGTTTATGATGTACAATTTTGAAAATTGTGAACCAGAGGTTCCCTGTGGGGTGACCTATTCTGATTTTGTAAAATCACTCAATTAAGCTGAATTTTGGCATAGAGGTTGGCAATGACTTGTAATGAAAGAATACGAAGTGCAATTTAAAAAAAAATCAGGTGGAGGGACCCTATGGGGCTCCAACCCTGGCTCGGGCTAAGCAAAGCTGTACTAGAGGTTTTCGTAACTATGGCCTTACCTAAGAAAAAGACGACATCCATTTATCTACGTAATTTCTTTTTGGATAAGAAGTTAGGTTCAATTGAACTCAATCATTTATTCAAGTGACTTTAGTATATCATATTGATCTCATAAATTGGCCTCAATACCATGAAGAGTTGAACAACAAGCATGATAAAATATTTCATATAATGCATGGGATAAATTGAAAACATGTAGCTATTCTAATTATTACTTGTACTCGTATTATGTGGCAAAGTCATTTCAACGTTCACTGATTACATAT